GTGTAGCGAACAGCTGATTAAAAGGCATCTCACATTGACACCCGCGTCTCAAGATGAGTTGCGACGTTCCTGTCTACCTTTTGTATTCGACCCGTAATAAGGTAACTATTTTTACCAATAATTTAAAAAATAAGCTTCAGACAGAGTTTTGTAAAAAGAAAAAGTGTATTAGAATTATCAGGATTTTATAGTTTTTTTTTATGGTTCTGAATCACTCTGTATCAGCCTTTCGACCATACTCTTTCTCCTCCTTTTTCTCCGCCATCTTTTTATTTTCTTGTAATGACGTTCAATTCTGTTAAAATATTACGTTTGTCAGATGTTTGAACATACAAGTTGTGGGAAATAGATGGAAACCTTTAAAAATTTCGAAAGATGTAAGTTTTACAGAAAAGTGTTTCAGACAAAAATTATAAGGCTCAAAACAATGTATTTACTGATCTTATCAGTTTGACCTTGAGTGACGTTGCCAAGGTCGGGATAAGGTCAAGGTATTTTGTTTTAACAGAAACCTCCATTTTTATTATATCGTCTTTATATACCAATTAATTCGAACAACATTTGTCTGAAACATTCTTTTATTTACCTAATATGTTTTGAGATATTTAAGGAAAACTTGATGACTTTTTCAATTAACTTACGATATTTCGCTAACTATTTGTCAGAAGAAAAAATGGTACTAGACGGTTTTACTCTATTTGATTTCAGGAACATATTGTTACAATAGTTTTTTAATTTTTGCTAACTTATTGACTTTTGGAAATTTCAAAATCATCAAATTAACAAAAGTCAGGATACTATTGTAACAATATATTCTTGAGACCAAATAAAGTAAGAAAGTCTAATACCATTTTTTCTTCCGACAAATAGTTGGCGAGATATCATAAGTTAAATATTGAAAAAGTTTCCGAATTTTCCTTAAATATCTCAAAAAATATTAAGCAAATAGAAATATGTCAGACAAAGTTATTAAAATTAATTGGTAGAAAAAGATGATATAACTCAAGGTCAAACTGATAAGATCAGTAAATATATCGTTTTGAGCTTTATAACTTTTGTTTGAAATACTTTTCTGTAAAACTTATATCTTTCGAGATTATTAAGGGTTTCCATTTTTTTTCTTCACCCTATATATTTATACACTACACAAAGTGTTTATTACATACATATAGAGTGATATATAATTTTGTGGAAAAGACTGACATAGAGGTTTAATTTCTTCTGAAGAAATACCACATTCAAAGACTGGCATTTAGAACAAAGTTCGGGCGTTTTTGGCTAGAACGTTTATTGGCTGAACAATGATGAAGTCTCAAGTATACAGCGTGAGGCCATTTTAATTTATGCACTCTGATAACTTCGAAGATTATGGAAATATCGAAAAATGTCCAAAAGGAAAGTTATAGGGTTCGTAGGGGGTCAACTGATGGTGACCTTGACTTTGACCTTGAAGGGCATTTTCAAGATAATTTAAAGGTCAATTTTGTTTTTCTGAATAGAAACCTCTTTTTTTTTACCGCGGATTTGGAAAGAGCGGGAAATTTTACGTTCAAATATGTTATCATGTTAAGGGTCAACGTAAATCTTAGGGATCATCTTATAGGTTTTTAGGATTATTGAGCACAAATCAAAAGTTAGAATAAAAAAAAGCAGCAACAAATTACGCCTGTGATTAACCTACAAAATTGTAGTTACCAGAATTTACCAAGTGGAGGTAACAATGCGATTTAAAACTCTTGGTGTGCTGGATTAACGTGAGTCTCCTTGCCTCTCACGATTCGGGATGCTGGATTAACATGAGTCCCCTTACCTCTCACAAAGAATTAAAGCAATTGCTCGAAAACCCATTTTGTCTCTATTTTGCTGGATACATTAACCAATTCTTCGCTGAAAATGCCGAACTGTTTTTAATAATACTGCCCTTGGGATATTTTGGCAGGCGGTTCGGATTCTACCCATCATATTTTTTCTACTGGTTGGTGCCTATTCGTACACAATATTTTTCAGATAACCCCATAAATAGAAATCAGGCGAAGTCAAATCTGGAGATCTTGCTGGTCATGCAACAGTTCCGTCATGGAACCTCTCCGCTGACAGATAGTCAACCATATTTGAGATGGAATTTGAGGAAGATACTTCTCCAAGAATAAGAATTTGTAGAAAATAAATTTTCTTTTCAGGAGAAAAATAACTACTTGAGTACTCTCTTGTAAGTAAGAATGAATAATTTCGAATAATTTTGCAATCATCCAATACCACATATCAGGAAATTAGCAACAAAATGATTCAAGTTGGTATTTGATGAAATTGAATAAATTCCAATCTAGGAACAAAATCAAAGCAAAAAAGATTAATTCCTCTCAACAATAATTTATCGATGTTATTCCATTTCAGAGCACACGTAAGGATTCATCGAATAATAAAGGCTAAGACTTGATAGTAACTATTATTCTCAGATTCGATTAGGTCAAAACTTGAGTAAAATATGAAACTAGTCTCATGATCGATTATGAGCTATTTGACCTTCAAATGATCTCTGGAGGTCGACCTAATTCAATTTGAATACGACATTACTCGCTTTTTCTGAGCCTGGTCAAGTTCTATGAACTCTGAAACTTCTATTTGGGTCATTACTTAACCTTCAGATTACTCCTAGAGGTCACGTTGATCGTTAACATGATAACATTTAAACGTAACACTTTCCGCTCTTTCCAAATCCGCGGTCGAAAATAAGGATTTCTACACTACTCAAAACAATTAGAAGAGCGTTTTAAAACTTGCAAAATTTGATGGTTTTTAAGCTATATTTCAGCTTGGGGAGATCGTAGAACAATGTTACCAAGGCCAATGTTAACAGGGCGCATTTGAACGGGTGAAACCGCGACTTTAAAGAGTCTAAGGTTTCATTATTCGTCTCATCGAACTGTTTTTGTTGTGAAGCTTAAAATCAAGTCGTGAAAAACTTGTGGAAATTTCATGATTTTGTAACCATACACGAAAACAGGGATGGAAATAAAAATGGCAACACACTCGCTTTGAAGTGGGAAACTTCCCCTTTAAAACGCCGCAAGGAATATTGTTCTATCATACCTTAGAGCCGAGTTGTCGCATTTCGAAGTTACCCCTGCATTTTGCAAAATTTTTAGCAACACCGCCGGCATTTATGTTATCCGATGTGCACCACGAGGAGATTGCTCGGTCGGATTTTGCACATCATGTGTATGGTATATGTGTACGTTAATATGAAGTGTGCGTGATGTGTATGTGTGTGTGTGTGTATGTGTGTGTCAGCAGAGATAAGGACCCTCTTCTATTAAAGCGATTACTTGCGTTACTTCATTTTTGCTAAGATGTCTCATTTTCATGTATGTAAATGTATATAAATTGTGTTACTTAAGGTTAATTACCTGAAAACATATTTAACAGGTAAAAGGAAGCTTTTACACTAGTAAACTTGCATCACATCAACTCGCAAGTCTGTAATAGACTCTAACGTGAGAAACACAATTTATGTATCTACATTGTATATATGCATGTATAAAAATGAGACGTTAGCGAAAATGAAGTTGCGCAAGTAATCGCTTTAATGATAAATCTCAGCGATACGTTGCTTACAGATTTAATGTGAATCGATCTGTCGTAGCTCGTGTTTGGGCACGCTACCAAGAGACTGGGAGCTATCAACGAAGAAGAGGCCAGGGTCATAGACGTGTGACATCTATTCGGGAGAACCGTCAAATTGTTAACACGACTCTAAGAGGACGTACAGTAACTGCTAATTACATCAGAGCCAATTTGTTTCCAAATCGGTCCATAAGTGATCAGACCATCCGAAATCGCTTAAGAGAAGCTGACTTTAGATCGCATAACAGAGCGCGTGTTTCAATGTTAACGGTTATCCATCGACGAGTTTGTTTCGAATATTCCAGAGCTCACGTCGTCTGGATTCAGAGGTAGTCGAGTTCTTTTTACGGATGAATCCCACTTTTGCCTCTTTATATAATGATAGACGAATTCGTGTCTGGCGTCGACGTGGAGAAAGATTCGTCCGTGCCTGTGTCGCACCAGTTCGAGCGTTTAATGGAGGCTCGGTGATGGTTTGGGCAGGGGTCAGTACAACCCAACAGACGAACTTAGTGGTGATACCTCCTCCGGGCATGACAGCAGTCTGATATATCAATGAGATTTTGACACACTTCATATTAACGTACACATACATCATACATGTGATGTGCAAAATCCGACCGAGCAATCTCCCTATGGTGCATATCGGATAACGCGAATGCCGACGGTGTTGCTAAAAATCTTGCAAAATGCAGGGGTGACTTTGAAATACGACAACTTGGCTCCAAGGTATGATAGAACAATATTCCTTGCGGTATTTTAAAGGAGAAGTTTTCCACTTCAAAGCGAGTGTGCCATTTTTATTTCCATCCCTGCTTTATTCGTATATGGCTACAAAATCATGAAATTTCCAAAATTTTTCACGACCTGATTTTGGGCCTCACAACAAAAACAGTTCGATGAGATGAATAATGAAACTTTAGTCTCTTTAAAGTCGATACTTCACCCGTTAAAATGCTCCCTGGAACACTTCTACGACCTCCCCAAGCTGAAATATGGCTTCTTAAAAACCTTATCAAATTTTGCAATTTTTAAAGCGCTCCCTTAATTGAGTAGTATATTAAGGAAAACAAAGTTGACCTTCAAATGACCTTGAAAATGCTCGTCAAGGTTACCATCAATTGACCTTCTACGAACCCTATAACTTGCCTTTTGGACATTTTTCGATATTTCTATAATCTCCGAAGTTATCAGTGTGGATAAATTAAAATGGCCCATCCTGTATATCTGTTTCTTTTTAAATCCTATGAGTACATACTAATTCATTGAAAAAAATAAGTCTATATAGTTTACGAATTATTTGATGATTTAAATTAAGTAGGATATTCTGTTGTACAATTCATTTTTTTATTATGGAGATAATTTGTTTATTATAGTATACGTCTTTACACCACAAAGTCCAACAATCGTCTACAAGAAAACATGTCTCATCGACCATTCCAGTTCTATATTGGGTGCTACTTTTGTACCACGTCTCAAAGAAAGGCGCAATCCTTCAACTGGTCGATGGCAAACAAAATCACAACTTTTCTTTCTAGATTCCAACCAGGTATGTTTATGCAGGCATAATCTATAATTCTTATTGTAACTTGGCGTTTGTTTCAATATACAGGATGTCTCATTTTATTTTTGACAGTCAAATATCTCGAAAGATATGGAAGATATAGAAAAATGTTTCAGACGAAAGTTGTATAGTTTCAAAGGGGACATAAAATAGCTATATCAGTTTGTACAAACGTGGCCACTTTTAAAATATCCACTGATCATTACTTTTCTGAAATGGAAACCTGAATTTTTTATTATGTCATCCTTTTCTATCAATTAATTTGAACAATTTTTGTCTGAAACATTTTTTTATTTGCTTTTCTAGATACTTTTTTAGATATTTCAGAAAACTTGGCAATTTTCAATATTTAACTTACAATATCCTGCTAACTGTTTGTTGGAAGAAAAAATGGTACTAAACTGTTATATTCTACTTAGTCTCAAGAATATACTTTTACAATAGCGCCCTGACTTTTGTTAACTTGCTGATTTTTGAAAATTTCAAAATCATCAAATTAATCAAATTCAGGGCGCTGTTGTACCAATATATTCTTGAGACCAAATAGAGTAAAAAAGTCTAGTACTATGTTTTCTTCCGACAAATAGCGAGAGATCGTAAGTTCAATATTGAAAAAGTTTTCCTTAAATATCATAAACTACGTAATGTATGTTCCATGTACTCTTTTATAACATGTTAATTCATCACAATAAATTCTCGTTTTGTTTTGCTTTTCCCATGTTTACGTTTTCATCTTCGATCTCTCGCGGATTGAGAAACAGCTGACAGAGTTGTTATTTCTTGCACGACATACTTTTTAGTAGTAGTTCTTCAGTCCTAAATGCAACGAGATTAAACAAAAAACTATGAAAACAAAGGGAGAAATGATTGGTATTTTCCGACATTTTAAGCTCATCAAATGGGTGATAAATGAGCTGTCGTCGTCAGATTTGATATCGTCAGATAAAAACAAGTTTTGGTGCGCAGGGTGGAGCCCCGCGCCAGTGTACGGTATTACACGACAATCGTGCGCACCACGCCATTGGTCGACTTTCCTCGTTAATAACTTTGTTATTAATGGTCGGAGAAAGAAATGAAAGAGGAACTTTTGGCTTAGAATTTCACTCTTTTCCACACTCTCAAAGAATAATCGTGCGTTTTGAGACATCCTGTGTATATTTATATATAAGGTATTTGAAAAGAATGGAACCCCCTTATCTCCAGAAGTACTCACTTTCATGGAAAATAATCCGAATAAAAGTAGAGGTCATGGAGTACTATCTTTTGGTGACCTTAAAATTGACCTTGAACTTGACCTTGAATGTCATTTGAAGGTCAACTCGAAATTTTCAAATGGAAATCCCAATTTTTTATTACACTGTCTTTTTTTACCAATTAATTTGAACAACTTTTGTCTAACAAATTTTTTTTGTTCGCTTAATATTTAATTTACTGATTTTTGGAAATTTTAAAATCATGAAATTAAAAATCAGCGCTATTGTAACAATATTTCTTGAGACTAAATAGAATAAAAAAGTTTAATACCATTTTCTTTTCGATAAACAGCAAGATATTGTAACTTAAATACTGAAAAAGTTACCAAGTTTTTCTTAAATATATTGTTGCGCTCACTCTCGTACTCGCACTTGCACTCAGGTAAATGAAAACACTCGCGTGAAAATAACGAGCTTTACTATTTACAGCGCAGCTCACTCAAGCTTTAAACAAGAATAATTCTCTGATCTACAATTCTCGCGTTTGTCTACGATGACAGCTTACCGGAGACTCTCTGTCAGCTGTTGTTGTTTTCTTCTTATCGATTTTCCGTCGTTTAGACAATCTTCGTTGAGTTGTCAAAATCAGTATCAGATGCCTAAGGCTCACGGACAACGGACGCTGCCACAAACCTTGTGGCTCGGACACAACAATATTAAAAAATATTAGGAGTACAAATAAGTTTCCACCGTTTGACAAAAGATGGCCCCACCAGAAGGTTATGTTGAAATTGTCAGATGTAAAACGTAATATCGTAAGTTTGGACATATGGTAACAACATAACCTTGAAATATTAGTGACTCCGTATCAGCATCACATAATTTTTTTCGTTTGAAAATGTCAAGTTTTGTGTCGAATAAGCGTCATTTGCGGGAACTTTTGATTTACTTCTTTAATTTGAAGAAATCTGCAGCTGAGGCGCATCGATTGCTTGTAGAAGCATATGGTGAGACTGTTTTAAGTGAGAGAAGTTGTCGTGAGTGGTTTCAAAAGTTTAAAAGCGGTGAGTTTGACGTGGAAGACAAAGAACGTAGTGGAAGGCCGAAAGTGCACAAAGACACGGAATTCGAAGCATTGTTGGAAGAAGATTCGTGCCAAACGCAAGAAGAACTTGCACTTACATTAGAAGTGACTCAATAAGCAATTTCACATCGTTTAAAATCGTTGGGAATGATTAAAAAACAAGGAAATTGGGTTCCATATGAACTGAAGCCGAGAGACGTTGAACGCCGATTTTGCACGTGTGAAATGCTGTTTGCCAGGCATAAAAGAAAGGGTTTTTTGCATCGTATAGTCACTGGTGATGAAAAATGGATCCACTACGATAACCCAAAGAAGAGAAAATCATGGGGACCACCTGACCATGCTTCAACATCGACAACCAAACCGAATATTCATGAAAAAAAACTCATGCTGTGTATTTGGTGGGATCAGCTTGGTGTCGTGTATTATGAGTTGCTCAAACCGAGCGACCATTACTGGAGCTCTCTACCGAACACAGTTAATGAGATTGAGCCGAGCACTCAAGGAAAAACGCGCTCATTACTACTTCAGACACGACAAAATTATTCTCTTACATGACAACGCTCGGCCACATGTTGCAAAACCGGTCAAAACCTATTTGGAAACACTTAATTGGGAAGTCCTACCCCACCCGCCGTATTCACCAGACATTGCCCCTTCCGATTATCACTTGTTCCGGTCGATGGCACATGGCCTGTCTAAGCAGCATCATATGAAGATACTAAAAATTGGGTCGATTCGTGGATAGCCTCAAAAGATGAAGAGTTCTTCCGACGTGGTGTCCGAATGCTGCCAGAAAGATGGGAAAAAGTGGCTAGTGATGAACAATACTTTGAATAAAAAATAATGTACCGTTCTTTCACAATAAATTCCTAATTTTTGATAGAAAACGGCGGAAACTTATTTGTACTCCTAATATTAGGTAAATAAAAAATGTTCTAGACGAAAGTTGTCCAAATGAATTGGTAGAAAAAGATAGTGTAATAAAAATTAGGGTTTCCATTTGAGAATGTCGAGTTGACCTTTTTTCTTTTCTTTTTGATCATGGTGGGAAAATCCTCATGGATACCCCCGCCCCCAAGGGGCGGGGGTTATGCCGGATTCTTACCGGCTAAAACCCCACCGGGATGTTTGCCAGGCGGGCCGGAGTGTGGGGAGTCGGGGGAACTGCGCCTACACTCCCTTCCCGACACTCCGGCCTTGGGGCTCTAAAGGAGTTCCTTACCCAAGTGCCGCGCCCCCTCCCACAAAGGGAGTCGGGAGCGCGGCGCCCCGACCGGTCGTCCGGTCGGGTTGGTCTCTTGGTTCCTAATTGGAGAGAGGGGATACCCACCCTCTTTCCTAGCCCCCCTCTCTCCCGGAGGGGGGCGGGGATGTCGAATTGACCTTCAAATGACCTTGAAAATCGACCTCTAGGTCAAGTTCAAGGACATCATCAAGTTCATCACTTAGAATATTGAAACTTTTGTTTTACAACGGGAGGACGCATCGACCGGGAAACGGTTTGGAACGAAACTTACGGAGTTAATAGTACTAGACTACTAATAACTCATGGTAATAGCATACGACGCAATACCTTTTTGTTTTCGAGAAAAAACGATCTAAAGAAAAGAGTCAACAAAGTGTATGAGTTAGTAAGAAGGATATTTAACGAAGCGGCGTAGCGCAGCAGCGAAGGTAACGGGTTATCGACGTGACGGCTAAGGTTCGATCCCTGTTATATGGTTTATTTTTTTATTCTGTAAGCATAAAAATGAAACAGAAAACATTAATAAATAATAAAACTGCGTTTCTTCAATATATTAGTGTTTGTTAAATATATTATTAATGATTTAAATTGCAAAAAGACCGTAAATCTTATCTATAAAATATATAGTGTATGAGAAAATTTTTATATAATTGCAATGGAAATAGGAATACAAATATTGTTATAAAATATATAGGAATGCTACTAACCCTTTGCGGTCGATGCCGCCACAGTGGCGGCATTCGTAAGTCGTCGTAGAAGTCGATGCCGCCAGGCTGGCATTCATGATCGCCTGGCGTGCAGCACGGCAAATGAGGCTAGCGATAATGAAAGAAAACTATCCTCCCGATGCTAGATTCAAATGTTTAGATCAACTTACAGATATCCATGTTTATCGATCTCTTCGAAATCAGCCGATCGCAAAGAGTAAAACTAGTATGAGATAATTTTTCGTAATCTTATATCGTATATATAAAATATTTATTTCTGTTACAATTCTCTATGTTGTATTGAAGTCGTGTTGTATTGAAGTTATGTTATGTCTTTATCTTTTCTGGCAATCTCCCTCCAAAAACTTCTTTTGTGTCATTCTAAAGGATCATTAAGAATGACGAAATGATTCGAGCATCGGAACAGTCGTCAGTAAAGCAAGCAGCAGTGTGCGTTTACTAGTGATACAGAGTAATTCGGTGATCATATTTAAATTACATATATCATAACAATGTCAGACAATCCTTGAACAATTGCTAAAAGAAAGATCTTTTGAATATGAAGATTTTAAAGGTGAATTCACTAATGTTCTCGTATATGCGAATTCTATTTACGAGAATAATGAATTATTATCGAAAAATCCTCCAGCGAAAATATATATTTTTACTCCTATTCCCATTGCAATTATTATATAAAAATGTTCTCATACACTATATATTTTATAGATAAGATTTAGGGTTTTTTTTGCAAT